ATGTTATGCGATGGTCAAGGTCAGTAAAAACATCTGTTTATAAAGAAATATCGTTTCGAAATATTATTCACGACAAAATAATTTCCGTTCTTAAAAAAAAACAAGTCGGATGGTAATTTCAGAAATGGTATAAATAGCGATACATTTTTATTTAAATATCAGTATCATACGAACATATTGTAACTGCGTCTGCAAATATACACCTACTACTAGCAATTATTAAAAAAGATCACTTTTGCGATGGATTCTTCACCTTTGTTTCCAAATAATGCAGAAATTTCCGAAGACAAAAAACAGGGAACAGTAAATAGTACATTGGATACAATTAATAATACGGCAATGTGTGACCAATTTAAACCGATTCTACATATAAAAGACATGGTAAAGGACCAGCCTCTTCCAGTAATCAACATCTATCGTAGCAAAACAAGACACGGTAAATGTGTAGTGGTGGAAACTGAAAACAATACAATCTACTTGCCGAAACGAATGTACGAGTGGTAAGGTTGTTTTCATAGTTTTCCCGTAGATAACACGTACTCTAGCCTGATTGGTTCTATATATTTATTTTTTATTGTTCGAATAATTTCGACGATGAAGTAATAAAGTCACCATTTTCACAAATTCACCCCACAAATTGTTATGTAATAATAACTTATATACACTCTGTTTCGAACAATACAATTATTACGTAATATTACTACTGCCCTTTATAGAAACAGGACATTGACATTAGTTAACAGATATGAACTGATAATACATAATTTCTTAGAATTTTTTAAATTGTTTCAACAATAAAATGATGCAATAAATCAAGACCAACAACATCCGTTCGTAAAAAGCAATTTCACGATTCAAAATATTAGATACGCATACTTAGTGTTCCAATTATTCATAAAAAAAATTTTTTTCAATGGCCTTTTCCTTAAGCTGATGAAAACGCCGTTTAGTTGATAAGAAAGCTATTTTATCCGATTAGACAACCGTTATAGCGGAATTAGACAGCCGTTATAGCCAATTAAACAGTCGTTACAGCCGATAAGAAAGCTGTTGTTACAATCGATACAGTATACTATAAATACACTGCAGTAGGTACGTATTACGATGTAATGTACATGAAATATACGTAAGAAAAAACTAATAAAAAAAAAATGTATCTAATAAGATATTTGTCTAAAATGAGCTATAAATTCGAAATCGTATTTGTGTCTCGCATTTACTATTACACAGTTGATGTAGAAGTCTGAATTTAGTATTATCACGAAACTTTGGGAGTCATTCGACGTACCGGCCGTGATTTTCTATTTCTACATAGTCTAGAACAAGTGAATGCCCTGTATATCATCTGCGAATTAAAATATAAAAGATGCGACGGGAGCTCATTCAGTTCATTCAATTATTGTCAACGATATCTTTAATATCTTTAATCATCTTTGTTACCAGCAATAGTGACCGACAGTGATAAATATTACTTATTTAAAAAGGGGTAAGTTTCCATTTTTCCAAATCGTTTTTATATAAACTACCTGCTTTAAAATCGTACTCTTATAACATTGAAATCTATTTCAGACAAAACGCAGTGTAGTGCAGTCACCCTCCTAGGTATTAGGTATTATCATTGGCTTTTTATAAAAAGGGGTAAGTTATCATTTTTTTAAATATTTATAGCGTGTTGTATATAAAATTAATCAGTTTTTCAAGATTATTAAAGTACTAATTGTAAAAATCTAAATACTTTTTATTAATAAAGGGGTAATTAACACTTGTTTTTTCCAATAAATTTCGTATATGGCATATCAAAAATTAAAGTATTTGTAATAGTAGCACCTATTCGGTTTGAAATCAGACTAGGTAGTGCCTACATATTTTTCACTTAATTTAAAGTTTTTAAGATCGGTCGTATTCATACCATCTATTAATTCTTCTTTGAAATCTTCTAGTAGTAATGTAAAATATTCCATATAAAGCACCGTGTTGTATATCGTACC